CACTTACACTCTTTTCTTCCTATGTCATAGCATTATCCATTACATCCAGCTGTAATTATTTTTTTTATTGTTTCCCTTCCTCAAAAGATTGAAGACTTTAATTGCTCTATTCCCAGTGCCTGGTATGTAGTCGGTGCTCAACAATTTCCTAGAGCATTTGTGAATGCGTAAACCTTATATAAATGATTCTTACATCGTTTATGTTGAGCTCTAAGTTTCCTTAAAACTCTCCAAGACTCTGACTACGTGAACGGCAATGCAGATTCTTCATCCTAGACATCTTATTTTTATTTATTTTCAGGGTAAGACAAAAGAAATCCTGCTGAAATTTAGAAACTGTACTGATATTCAGTATCATTTATTTCTAACATAACCAACTTCAAACCACTCTAGTACATGGGGCACAAACTCAAATATCTACAGGTAATGTGATTATGTGATGTGCACCAAGTGCTTCATGAGAAAATAGGGAAGGGAGATACCTCTGATGAACTAGAGAGTGCATGGCCACTAAAGGCCACTAAAGGCATTCAAATTCCATTAACAACAACCACAACAAACCTGTGTGCAAGAAACAGAACTCCTCCATGAGTCTGATTTGGCCTTTCTACCACCAGTTGGTGACCTCTGCTCTAGGACAATAAACAGTAATTAAATTCACAGAATATTCAGATAATATTTTAAAGCAATTTTCTCAAATTTAAAAACATATAGTAAAATTTATAATTTGAAATTCACCTGTATTTTGTTTTCTTATTAACCTTTTAGTGAAAATGATAAGAAAATAATAACAATGTGGACACAAATAGAATCAGATGGACTAGCAGGAATTAGAATAAAGGGTTCTGACAAGATGATGGAGTATGGATGGCCTAAAGTTGAAATTACATGCTTTGTCGAAGTTTTTTAGAATATTCGATTTGTAAAATTTTCAAATATTTGGAATAATAGCTTTTAGCAAATGCAGAGGCAAATGTTACTATTAATAGATAATTCAATTTAATTAGTAGATAACATAGATCAGCTCAAGCCTAGCACTGAGATGTCCACTGAAAGAAGATAGCATTTCTTGGAAAAATAGGTATTTTCGGGGCTGGGACCAAAAAGGTACAGAATTGAATAAAGCAGAAACAACTTGTGGAACCAGAGGTAGGAAATAAATAACGCGTGCACACAAATGGGCATTTATATTTATATTTTATGTCCCTTTATATATTTTGGAAATGAGGAGTTGTATGCCCATATTGTTAATTTCAGCCCAACATTATAGCGTTCATTTCCCATGTAAAATTCTCCCGATGAATAGTGAGAAGCTGGCTCCCAACATGGGAACTATATTTACTTTTTTGGTCAGCCTCCCCTTATGTAATCCCTCTTCTTATGAAATCAATCACCTTCCACTGCCTCTGCCCTCTCTCCCTGCACTGACACCTTCTTCACCCCACTTGGGCTCTGACTGCCCAAGTCCTCATCACCCTGCTAGGGAACCACTTCCCTCACTGGGTCACTGTGGGTCCCCCAGTCCTAACGTGGACACTGACCTTGCCAGGCCCCACCTAAGGACTTTTGGATTGAATTTTTCAGGAAAGGAAGAAGAAGAAAAAGAGAAGAGACTAGAAAATCTCAGTAGAAAATAAACCCTGGAGAAATAGAAGAACAAATACCTGGGCCCACTAAGGAACTATAAATTATTCAGTGTGCATATGCCCTTAGATGCCAAGAATACAGAGCAATGGAATACAAAGGAGGTGTAGAGGGAGTGTGAGACAATTAAAATATTAGCAAAAATGCTAAATCTTCTAAAACTGGTGTCCTTAAAGTTCTCAAGTAGCTCCTATGTCTTCATGTGTAAAATCCATATATTAGCGCTTTCTCCAAACAAATAAAAAAAGTCGTGGCTCATCAGTTTAGTATTTGGGTCCTTGACACCGCATTTGCTTCTAGGTTGCTTATGGTAGATAATATTTAGAATGGTGTTGAGAGCAATCCTGCTGCTATGAAAATTTTATTTATTTCTTGCTTTTGTGATTAACTTGTCAACCTTAACATTTCCAAGATCACAGTGTGGAGGGCTTTGTATTTATTATTCCTCAAAAATGCAGTATGCTGAAATGTTCTCCAAATCTCTCTGACCTAAAATCCCAGGGAAATCTTCTGATTAGAGATTTGCATATGGGCTTGCTGTGGTTTTTTTGCCTTTAACAGAGTCTAAATTGCCTTAAATTTCCTTGATATAGATTACATTTTTACCTGATTTAAAACATGTCTAAGGTAAATTTCAAAATTTACCAAACATTCTCATGAAATCATCAAATTAGATCAATCAAAAGACAACTTAAAAATATCCTACAATAGATGTCCCTTATTTGAATGTGAATGTACACTTGTGTTGATATAGTTGATCTTAGCCACTGAATTCTCATGACATTGCCATAGAAAACAAATAGATACTCCTAAAAGTAGCTGTGGGACACTGTCTACTCAGATGAATACTTTCTTTAAAGAATAACGATGGCATCAAATACAAAACGGATAAATCCACAAACGTTAATATTTTTTAACCTTAATTTTTTATAGTCTACATTTCAAATGAGTCACATAAAATGAAAATGGCACCTTGTATCCAGGATCTGAAGAAGAGACTCTAATTTTCAAATGTATCAGAGACTAGGCTAGAATAATAACACCTCTTATATTCTGTAGCACGGTTACTTTTTAAAACACGCTTTCTGTGGTACTTTCATATTTGCTCCTCAGAGCAACATCATAATTATAAAAAATCCTGACCCATGTCCCTTGAGATTCAGATCCTTGTCCCCTGCTTTTCTCCACAACTGGCTATGTGACTTTAGACAAGCTATGCACCTTCTGCACCCCAGAAAATACAAACAGGGAGTTGGATTAGATCGAGGGCTCCTATCATCGTCCACGCCATGGATGTCTTTGGCAGTCTGGTCAAGCCTATGGCCCTTCTAAGAATAATGTTTTTAAATTTGTCAAATAAAATAAAATATACAGGATTATAAATAAAACAAATTATATTCAAATTCAGTTATCAAAGTCTTAAAAAGCAAGTTTATGAAATGGTAGTATGTGTGTTTGTTATAGCATTAAAAAAAAGTCTAGTGGTGATCCATAACTACCACAATTCTAACACAGTGATGAGTGTATATAGCACTTTGAGGTATCTGCAACAACTCTAATGTGATTTTAAAATATCCGTGATTTCTACTGGTGACAGGTACTGCTAATAACATTGTGGTTCATTGCCCGCGTTCACCATTAATGGAAATGCTAAATTTCAAACTAAAGAAAATAAAAATGCAACTTTTTATATGCAAATTTGCAAATGCCCTGAATTCTATCCATTAGATGATCTCAGAGAAACGTTCCAACAAAAATATTCTAAGACTTTATAAACAATCCTGCTCGTTGAGGAGGGTGACATACATCCAGGTCCATTCTCCAACAAAGAGTAGTCCATGGAACAGCAGCATTAGCATCACCTACCTGGGAGCTTGTTAGAAATGCAGAGTCTCAGGCTCCCCCTTAGACCTGCTGAATCAGGATCTATATGTTTACAAGATCCCCACGTGATTTGGGTATACATGAGTGTTTGAGAAGTGCTGCTTTAGATTAAGTTGTTCAGCCTGTCTGGGTGCTTTTTAACTATGATCAGACTGAGTGCTTTAAGACTCCTTAGATCTACAATGAACTTCTATTTCTAAAAACTTGCCCTTATACCCAAAGTCTAAGAAGTTGGTGACAGGCCTTCCAGCAAGGACAGCGGTGCTCTAGGACACACAAGAGAGATTTTAGTAGAAAATTTAGGTTAGGAATTACTTAAGGATCAATAATTGATTGGGTTTGGATTGCTTTGGAGAATTGAAGAGCCCCAGGTAGATAGTTTAATTTGGCAGAAGCAAATTGTCTCTGAAAAGTGAGGGAGGAAAGATAACAAGCCTGATTGCGTGATTACGCAGAAACGTAGTTCCAAGTTCCACTATTAAGTATAGGCAACGTTTGTCTCTGTGGTTTGGCTTGAGCACTGTAACTATTTGCATATCATACAGTTAATGTTCTTGTGAATATATGTTTTTCACTGTTCTGGAGCCAGTTTTATAGGTATATAAAATATTAAGCAGTTAGTGCCTTTAGACCGGAATCATGCCTACATGGGGAGAAGCAGTAGCTCCTGAAGTGCTTAAAGTGAAATTCTCTAACAGAAATTGCAGTGCAGTATATACATTTTTTGAGCACCTATCTTGCACCACGTAGTGGAAATTTAGGGATGAATGAGATACTATCCCTACCATAAAAGAACTGCCAGTTTATTTCAGGAACCAAACAAAAGAACACCCCAAAAACCTTTGCCTATAAGGGTATGTTAAGTTCTATGATAGAAACAGACGGGATATGGTAGTGGGATAGGAGGGGTTGTGTAGAACTTTAAATTCCTGTTTTCTCCTTCACTCATTGACTCAATTATTCCTTTGTTGGTCTATTCATTTGTTTATTTGTTTAATATTTATGAACCATGTCACACACCAGTCTTCATGGCTGAGCGTAGACTGCCGACATTGGAAGTGGTAAGACAGGTCTAGGTTGACATTATGGTAGGTTTTGTGTGCCCTGTGTAGAATGTTGTGTCTTATCCTAGAGCAACCAGGAAGCCCTAAAAGATTTTTAAGGAAGGAAATAACTGATCCAATTTGAATTTTAATATAATCACTCTTGGGGCAGTCATGAGAGGTGACCAGAAAGGAGGTTTTGGAAGATCATTTCAAAGTTTTCAGCCTGGAAAAATCATTCTTCTGTCCACTTAGAGGTCTTTTGCATTTAAAAAACTTTCTCATTCTTTTTTTATTAATAATATTTATAGGTAGTCAAATATCTAGCTCGTGTTGAAATATTATGGTATGACACACCTTTTGTAGCCACGTTTTTAAATTTTTGGTTCAACAATATAATTAACAATTTTTTCTATTGTTATTTCACAGCTTTGGACACTTGTCTTGATTTTATGGCCAGTCATTATTTTCATAATTTTGGCTATTACTCGGACCAAGTTTCCTCCAACAGCGAAACCAACTTGTAAGTAAATGATATTTGTTTGTTTCCCTAACTTTTGGATTCTAGTTAATATTTATTTTGGTACTGCTTTAGTGTTTCATTCTAAAAACTTTTTTTCACCTGGAAGTATTCGCATAAACCGTTTATGTGTTTTTTACTCAAGATTTTCAAATTAGTCAGAAAGTGAAGTTTGTAATATTTGTCTAAAAGAATATGAAGCTTGTAGGAGCCAGAATATATTTTAATCTTTATAAAATTTTGATTCATTCATTATTCACATCATAAATCTCACTGGGGTATGCACAACATAAACAAGTGTAATCTCATATTTGATCATTCTTTATTTTTATTGTAGAAAACCTAGACTTGTATTTGATCAACAGACCAAATGAAATCTGGAGTGCTATAAAAATTTCTCTCTTTAGTGCTGATATTTGAGTGATGTAAATGTGTCAACACGATTAGTTTAAAAGAAGATTGTTTTCTAATTAGTGCTGTTTCAGTTACATTTAGTCATTGCCAAGTTACAGAATGGGCAGAATGCCCACCCTGCTTCATTATTTTCTTTTGGATCCAGAATGGAAACACAGAAAAAACTTAGAGAAGTCCTCAGAACTGAGGGGATGAGCTTTTTAACCTCAGCAATTTGACCAACACTGTTTTGCTTTTGTTTTTTTCCTCGTGGACCCACTTTCCTTAGAAGAGGAGTAAAAGTCAATCAAATGTTTCATGTTTAACCAAATAGCCATCTCCTAAAAAGCTTCTTATAAATCAAATTTCTATAAATCTGATTGTATTTCAGATAAATTATGGTAATTTTCTATATAAAAGAATACAATGTTGAATTATTCTGTAAAAAGAACAAGCTAGTGACTTTTTAAAATAAGAACAATGTTTTTCAATCACCCAGTCCTAAGAAATAAGATGAGAGCCCTGCAGAATCTACCTGAATCAGGCATAATAGGATAATTCAAAAGAAAATGTCAACTCAATTAGTATAAAGCATTTAAACTCTTGGTGCTAGAATAAATAATTCCTTATATTTGAATGGCACCTTATTTCTGAAGGACTTTTGCACAAGTCATTACATAGAGTTGTTGATGAGATTTTATTAAGTTGTTTATAAAAACAGCATAATTTTCTTCTTTTCGTATTGTGTGTATATTAGTTCCTTATAACAGATTCACTCCACTGTATACAGTTGGAATTTATGTGTTCTTGCACATCTTAAGTAGCGTGGGCTTCAGAAATAATGCATTCAGCACATAAGTAGGACAAATACTCTTTGAAATATTCTGGTTTAATATGCTAATCATCAATTTGCTAACGATAGTAATAGAAGGGCTTTAATAGCTCCTTTCAACACTTATTTTCACCAATTTCTTGTTTTTAAGGATTTTTCAGTTACATAAAGTTCCTCTTATAAAACTTTCAAGAGAGAAATATAAGGTCTGTGAATAAGCAGTCTTTCACTAATTGGTGCTACCTGATGGCTTTTGGAGGTTCATGGAGACAATCCTAGAGAGCTCTTATAATTCTGCTAAATCAGGAAGAAAAAACTAGAGAAACAATGTGACACGTGCTTTCTAGACCTAATCTAAGGGCTCTGAACAGACAAAATATATGAAAGGAGATGAATACTCATTTTTACTTTGGACCTATTGTCATACTCTAATAATAATTAGCTATGGAGTGGTTATCTTTACGTTTGTGGATAGGAGAGAACAGAATTATAGGATAGTTCAAACACTGAAAGTATGTTTACTACTCTCTTAGACCTTGTAAGAGTCAGTCTAAAATACAGTTTTTTGGTTTGTTATGAGAGCTGGATGCAACCTTCTCACTTAACAGATGAAAACTTGTAACCCAGAAGATTGTATTAATAGTTTGCCAAAATTCCATCATGTAGGAAAGGAGAGAAAGGTATTGGAAATCACCTTTCCTTATTCTTTGTCCTTGAGATTTGTATAGTAACTTACCCTCCTACGCACAAATGCTTCCTAGGTCTAGAAAATCCTATTTGGATAAATAAGAGCCAAATAAAAATTATACCCAAGGTTTCAATTCATTCTATAATCAATACAATAGAAAATATAATTTTATAATCAGAGGAGCTGCGGAGTAATTTGGAGAATCTAAGACCGGTATAGAAACAGTTACTTTTTCTCTCTCTGTGGTAGAGAGGAAATAACTTTGAGATGACAGTTTGGATTTAGGTATTTTTATTCTTTTTTATTGTTGTTTTTGCTTGTGATATTTATCTATTATACTGAAAGATTAGAATTGGCCAATACTAAATAATAATACTAAAAATATTTCTTGATCTCATACCATGTGCCTGGCACTTAACTGAGGTAGTGACTCTATTTTTCGTGTCATAGTTGAGAACACTATTGCATGGGGAATTTAAGTAACTTGATCAAGATTGCACAGTTAATAAGTGGTGGTGTCAGGATTTGAACCCAGGCAGTCTGGCTCCAGAATCTGGTTTTAAGCTCATGAACTCACATTCCTTACATCGAATAGTTAGTACTGATTTTTCATGTTGCATCATTTAGATTTTGTAAAAAGTAGACTAAATATTAGCAACTGGCAATATAAACACCTCTTCTTTGTCTCTATGATGAAATCAAGAAATATGATGAACAGGTGCATTCAAATATATATATCGGAGTTATCCTAAATGTTAGTATTCAATGCTACCTCTGTCCGACTAATTCTTCATGGATCATTGCAGTTGTAGTACCACAGAAATCAGGTTCTGTTTAATAGAGTTAAAATCCTTTCTGGGCTACAGTGCTAGTTGGACAATAGAGAAATGAAGATGAAACTCTAGAATACATCCCTAGATGAAACTTGGCTATGATAAGAATGGGAGTTGAAATCCCATGGGCACATTCTGCTCCCAGAATATCCAGGCAGATCTGCAGGACTCGATAAATCATTTAGAACGAATATATTTAGCGACTCAAAGGACTCCCTCCACGGTCTTTCTGACTGATGGGTGTCTGGAGAAGTCAGGGTTTTTGGTAAGGAACCAGCTGCAGTCCCTGCCACCGTGGGTGCTGGTCCAGGGTAACATATGTATTTTTGACATCATCTGCCTTCACTCACTCCCTTTTGTGTTGTGACAAACAGATGAGGTAACTAGCCTCTGCAAATAATAAATTCCAGGTACTGAAGCGCTTTAACCCTGGCTGGCAGGCCCTGATGCTGCTTTTATTTTTCACACAGGGAAGACATGAGCTGAGGTGCCAAGTTAGAAGTAGTTTCAGCTTTGTATAATCTCTACATGCAGAGGCTTGTCAAGAGGCAAACTTTAAAGCCGAAACACCATGCTTAGGAGCAAAGGCAAACAAAACAACACAAACCTCCCCAAACGATTTAGACTAAGCCCAGCTGGAATGCGCAGCAAGTTTATTTTGTCTCCTTATAATACACACATACCCATGAAAGTCCGGGCAAGAAGCTCCTGATTACGGCGGAACGATTCTTCAAGTACAGTAAAACCCTGCCAGAATGAGATAAGTAGACTCCAAAAAATGCAGTCATGTCAAACAAGGAATCACTCTTTTGTGAAGTTAATGAGAAGCAATGTTTTCCAAGTGGTCAAAAATATCACTACAAGCACAAAGGAAATCATACTGTGCTAATAGGATCATGCACTGAATTAAGCTCCAATTATCTCAAGGCAGTCATTTTCTAACATCCCTGCCCCCTCTAAGGATAAGAGTTTCAGCTCATCCCACATTCGAAAATAGGAGAAGTTAGTTGGCTATAGAATTATATCCAAATTTGTTATTACAGGGCTATACTGAATACCCCCCATCCAGTGTGACTCCATAGCTTTGGTAAACGCAAGATCATCCAACATTCCTAGCATGACTTTTGACTTCCAAAGCATACCTTTTGTCTTCAGGGAACCATAAATAAAAAATTAAATAAAAATTAATAATAAGGATGAACATTTATTGAACACTTAACTAAATATCAGACACTTTGCTAAGCATTTTGCATATATTGCCTTAGTTAATACTTACATCATCATTTTGAACTATGTAGTATGATCATCCCTATTTTAAAGATGAGAAAACTGAAGCACAGAAAGGTTAAAGAATTTACCAGTGTTCACATGGTTACTATGTGCTGGAGCCTGGATTTTAACCAGACACCTGTAGATGGGTGGTTTTATCCAGGTCATAGGTTCCAACAATGGCAATCCTGAGGTCTGGTTCTTTTGAGTTTACAGTGTCTCCTTTTTCTTCTTCCTATCACCTATTGGCACTATGATAGATGAAACATGGCTGTAAAAGTGAATTCAACTGGTTTTTGTGCTTGTCAGCAGCTCTAGGAAAAAAATGTGAGAAGAATGATTAAAATTGTTGATCACTTGCTGGTTTGTGGGATCTATGCCTGTTGTTAGACGTACAGTGCCAAATTGTTAAGAGGAACTATTGTGTAGTCTATGTTGACAGAGCCAATGAGGCATCTTACCGGTGAGGGCTGTGAAAGTCAGAGGAGTGAGGTTTTGTCTGGCCTTGCTCTTGCTGCTGACTTTTCCTGAGGTTTGTTTTCACAGAAGTGAATGCAAGTGCATGAGTTCAGGATTCCAGGGAGTACCATGCTCTCCAAAACACCTGTGATTTAATGGTAAAAATTGAGGCACTCGTAAATAATTTTGCTTACTATCTTGGCTCAAAATGTATGTAGTTTTTTGTTCTGGGAAACTTAGAACTCATTGGCATTCATCTTTTGCTGGGGATTGCCCAATACGGTTTCTCCATTCTGATGAGTGCCAGCAATACTAGTCAGCCTTGCAGGTTAGAAATATATGAATCACCTCTGACTGCTCCCTTTTCTTTTCCTCCCGTAACCACTGACTTTCAAGCTAGAATCTGTCTTGTGAAATGTGTCCTGGAGTTACTCTTGCCTTTCAGTCCCTCCTGCCATCCCTTGGTCCCATTGTTACATGCCTGGACTGATTTAGTAGCTTTGTTCATGTGACAGTGTGTGTGTGTGTG